GTCTTTTCAATGTTCAACTTTTGCCTCATGGTACTTTGATCGGCAGATTTTTCTTTCTCAATTCACACAATTTCTTAGGCGTCGAAATTCAATTAAGTTCCCTTGACTAAGGGCTCGCTGGCGTTGCTTGATTAATTTTTTAAAGGTTGAATTAATCCATGGGGGCTCATTTAGGTGGATAGTTCTAGTTCGTAGGGTAACTACTTGGTCTGAACCGTTCTTTAGGATTGATTGAAAAATCTCTAATTTTTCAGCGCACGTATCTTTGGTTTTAACTAGGGCAGCAACATCTATTTCTTGAAAGTATGTGTGGATAGCCAAACGATTACTTGGACGCAAGTCCCTTGATTTAATTGTTAATCGCTGCTTCGGTTGTTGAGAACGAATTTTTTTATTTTTGTTGAAGATCAATAGTCATATGATCGGATAGACCAAAAGAGGGACGCTGAACTTGGCTGTTATAGAACTTGTGTAAATTAGTCAAAATAAGATCTAATGTATATGAACCTCTTGTTGGGAAGTGATGATTTGTTTTAATTTGAAACTAGATTTCAATTTTGTGACTTTCAATTTGTTGAAGTCTCCGAGTAGAAGGATTCCACTGTTAGGGTTCTGGGCTTCAATTGATGAGAGGCAATTTATAAGATAGTTCAACATTTCAGAATCGCTTGCACTTGGTGGATGGTACACTGTTCCTACGATGATATATTATTATTATTATTAAAAAAATATTTACACAGGATAAAAAATGCTTCAGTGACTATTCACTGCTATCAACGCATGTCCTGTTTACCTAAAACTACTAAAATTATGAGTATAAAAAGTCAATATATTAAAAATATTAAAAATCTAACTGCAGTCAATTCTGAAAAGTATTATAATGGACTAAGGTTCTCTTTCAGTTTTCGTTTAAAAAGCATAAAACTGTCAATTTCTCTAATATCTTTGGGCAATTTGTTGAATTCAATTGCTCCATTATAATAAAAGGCATGCTTTGTGGATTCCAAGCGTATTTTGGGAATCCTGACACTTATTCCGTTGTTCCTTGTGTTCTTTACATGTTGTAACCGTTCAAAATAATTGTGAAAGTTACTACACACATTCCTGTCCATGCATTGTTTCACCAGGAAACACGTTTGCAGCTTTGCAAAGCTCATCAGGTCAGGTAGTCTTAGATCTGCCGATTCACTTGATTTTATTACTCTAGAAGCTCGATCCTGGAGATTTTCAATTCGTGAAGTTTGGGTGGCATTCAAGTTTAGAGTAACAACGCTGGAATATGTTAGTAGTGGCATTATCATGCATTTGTATATAGATTCAGCAGCGTCCATAGTTAGAGAAGATCGTATTTTCTTAAGCAACCTTAACCTGCCAGATGCTTTCCTAAAAGCCTGACCAAAATGTTCTTTCAGGTTTACATTCTGGTCCACCAATACTCCAAGATATCTATATTTGGTTGTGAAATTGATCAGTTTATCGTTTAGATATACTCTTATGGGGTTCTTTTGTATTCTTCGACTAGTTCCCAGTAACATAGACTCAGTTTTTCCTTTGTTGAGATTTATGATTAGATCGTTCTCATCTAACCATTTAGCAACAACTTGCATTTCACTTGTAAGTTGATTTTCAATTTCAGAAACATCTTGCCCAGCCAGGAACAGAACTGTGTCATCAGCATACTTTATGATTTGTGCACTAATGAGATGGTCGTCGATATCATTAATGTACAATATGAATAAAAGAGGCCCCAAGATAGACCCTTGGGGTACTCCTGATGTAACTTTGAATTTCTCTGATAATGAACCATCGAAGCTAACACATTGAGATCGATTAAACAAGTAATTGGTAAACCATTCCAGCTCATATGATTTAATACCAAATCTTGTTAATTTATTTAGCAGATTAGAGTGGGACACAGTGTCGAAGGCTTTGGATAGATCAATGAAGACCATTCCTGTTAGTAGTCCCTTATCCATATTCGCTCGAACTTTATCCAACAATAGTGTCACAGCTAATTGCGTTGATCGTTTTGGTCGAAATCCAAATTGAGAATCGTTTATCAAATGATTGGTCTCTAAATAATTCATCAGTTGATCATGCACTATTCGTTCCATGACTTTTGTGACAGCCGGTAATATGGATATAGGACGGTAATTATCAAAATCATTGATGGGCCCTTTTTTGTGAACTGGGATAACTTTAGCCACTTTCCATTCGGAAGGTATTACTCCAGTACATAAGCTCATATTTATTATATGTGCCAGAGGATCCTTCACAACAGTCGAACAGTCCTTAAGTATTCCAGGAGGGATATTATCAATACCAGCAGCTTTTGATCGTTTTAATTGATTCAATTTCTTTTCTATGTGGTGTTCAGTGACTGGTATAAACTGAAAGCTCATGTTAGTTTGGGTAATGGGTACATGCCGATGACCCCAAACAAAGTCTTTCAGAGGACGCGATTTTCGTTTTAGGTTGTCTACGACAGTCGATAAGAATGACCCAAATGCATTTGCTATACAATTACTATGCGTAATTAGTTTGCCATCAGCATGAAATGATCGTCCAGTACACTTTGCCGACTTATTAGGAAAAATTTCTTTTATGGTACTCCAAAACGTTTTTGGATTTCTGGAATTCTCCTTCAGTAAATCTTTGTAATAGCGGTTTTTATTCATAATAAATCTTTATCATTTGTCATGTCAACTTTAATGCAGTTAAAACCTCTTGAGAGTTGGGCTGGGCGGATTTTAATCCCCAGGACTTCGTAAGCAGAGTCAACTAAATCGTCCATGAGGGAGAATTGAATCGATTCATTGATGTATGTACAAATTCAGCCGTGTATCTGTGATTTTCTGTCAAGCCGAACTATATTGAATCCACTGATGGACACTACTTCGTTTTGGATGCAATCTTTTAGCCACGTTTCAGTTAAACAAACTAGACCAAAATTTGCGTGCACAACGCAATGTTGAATCTCATCAATTTTCGGCGCTAAGGACATCACATTGGAAAGGAGAACACTTGGAACGAATACATTTTCTGGAGCACTTGCAATTGTTGATTCCATCGTGGTAGCGAGGGTAATTTGGACACAGTTTGCCGGATTATGAATTCTGGCTGATGACAATGTTGTTGGTATTTGTTTGGTATGTCTGACTTATTGCATTTACGAGTCCACTATTTATACCATTCTGATATATAAAATTGTCAGTGTTGAGTAAACGTCATTTAAACGGTTTATCAAGTCAATTCTCGAGCTACTCTATATGAACTACAACAGTAACTCAGAGATCGCAAGAATAGTCCAAAGTTGACATGACAAATGATAAAGATTTATTTTGATTCGCATAGTGTATGAAATAACTCTATGGCAATATCAGGACCGCCGAGAGAATTAGCGGGGCCCAGGGCAAATCTTCTCTGGGGGCTCCATGACATCATTACTTTTAAGCTAGACCCAAGTCAGCACCCAAATAGACTTTAGCTAGACTGCATGTGGAGCTACTGTAAGGGGCATTGAATTTCAAAAATGCTTTGACCAATTTAAGGAACCTACTCAATTTCAGGCTCTCTCTCAAGTTGGGGTCCTATTAAGGTGGGGCCCGAGGCAAATAGCCCCCCCCCCCGCCCCCCTGTCGGCGGCCATGCATGGCATACTGTTAATGGTCAGAAATACCGATATATTTTGACAAAATCTTGGAATGACTGGTTATATAAAACGGCTCGAAAACTATACGAACTGACTACACATTACAGACTACAGTACAGAAATTTCTGCTATTAAAGATAATGTATTTCACTACAGACATTAGATTATTAGTTCACTGGCTCTCGCCGGCGTCGCCGATATTTATAAATAAAAACGAAAAACGCTCGACCTCGGCATGTTGCCTCGGAACAAAATTTCACGATATCACATCTACCGCGATATTACAATAGTATAAGCTAGCTGATATAAATCAGCTGCTGACTTATAATTTTATCAGTATCAAAACTATCCACTGGCATTTATTCATGTATTCATCGCTCCGTATCTTTGATAGACAAACAACCACTCTGCTATAATACTGTCAACCCCAGTTGTAATACACTTTACTCTACATTATATTATATGAGAGCACTGTATTAATTCACGCGTATTTACGTGGCAGGGGAGGGTGGTCATATAATAACAAGTGCATGAAATGTAACAGTAATTTGGTTATAACTTCTCTAAATGTTGGATTAAATAAGCAAGAACATGTACCACCATGAATATAAATGTAGATTTTTATAATCTATAAACAGCTATTAACGAGTAGTTGGCCGAACGTGCGAAACTCTAGTAAACGTAATAAAAAATCATTCGCAAGCTTCCCCCGGATTGTTTACTCTATAGATCGATCCATTGATTTAATTTTTCTCATAACAATAGTGCAAAGCAACTTTGCACTAATAAAGTACATTAGTTATTATATACTCACACTGCATCACGCACACGAATTTCAGAGAATATGATTGGTTGGATTGGAAATAAATTATCATATAGTAATTAGTGGGCGGTGATCAAATTTCCTTGAGATTGTTGCAGGCTCTTCTTTCAATGAGCCTGCCAAGCAGGCTATTAATATGTGTAACATAAGCTTCAATTAATTACACTGGCCTGCGGCCAAGTGTCTGTTTTTCCTGTTTTTTTCGTCGTCGAGAAATCGAGTTTGCGTTAGGGTATCGCAGGCTCAGTTTGTTCCGTCTGTTCCAGTTTGCGATACAAATCAGTTTTCAAGATGGCGGCCATTCAATGAGTGACTATTTCAGTCTCAAACAATTTTTTCATTTGTGAACGAATTTTGCCGCGTTCTTCTGTGGATTTTGTATTTATCCTACTCTGCACAAAATTTTGTAAATTTCAAGAAAGAAAAGGCGAAAGAATCGGCTAAAAGAAGGGAGCTGACGTTAACGAAGTTAAGTGTGTTGATTTTATAATGGCTTTAAAACCCGACGGCTTTTGCGTATATAAAACAACTAAACAAGACAGCATATAATTTCAGTGTATCTTTAATATTGATTCCCTTTTTTATTTTATTGAATTTTTTAAATAAAAATTAAGCAAAGTTATTTGCAAAGTTTATCGATAAAGCCATTTAATAGCTAAAGGCAGTTTAGTTTTATAAAAAATACTTTAGAACTTTTTGTGAATTGTTTGTGGTTGAATTTTACCTTAAATTGAAGCTTGTATTACGTATAATTACATACCTAACATATATATGTTGGGAAATTGATAATTTTGTAATTAGAAGTAATATTTTTAGGCGATTTTCATTTGTTAAGAATGTTCTTAAAAAATTATCGAGTTACCATGACAACTACTTTAGATACTTCATGTTTGGAAAATACAATGGTTTTGTCAGCAAGGCGAGGGTTTCTGCATGCATGTATTTTCTAGTTCTATTTCTATGTTGTAATTTGAGCGTAATAAGTCACTTTTGAGCATCATTTTCAACTCGTTTGATCAGTCGTTTGAGGTTGAATGTACAGTAGGGCCTACTATTTATAGTATCATCATTTATGCCACATTGTCAATATTGTTTATGCCGTATGTTATAGCCTCTTCCCGTATAGATCGATGTTTGTTGCTGTATTTAATATTTGTATAAATATTTATATTTATATTTCGGTATTTTAATATTTTGCACATCAATACATCCATGACATAAAATTGTCCCCGAGCCGACGGCGCGAAGCGCCGTGCGAGGGTATTAATTCCGCACGGCTATTTACACCCGAGGAAAGGAACACACTAGCGAAGTCTAAAGTTCATCAAATATCGTGGGCGCATGGTTACCGTTCATGGGTGGTCATCCTCACTGATCTCAAAATATGTAGCGGACTGTCGTGAATAGTCAACACCGATTGGTCAAATTTCAAATTTGCATTATAACGACTGCATTGACGACAGCGAAATAACAAACATTTCTAGTTCAAGTAATCATCTTGTAAATCTAAATGTAATTTTCATTTTGTAAATTTCAAAACCTTTCTGAGAGCCAAAAACGTCTAAAAAGTTCTAAAAGAATGGAGCAAAGTCGCCGACGTTAATGAAGGTAAGTTTGTTTTAAATTTTAATGTATTGTTTGTTTTATAATTGATATATTTATAATTGATAGTGGTGGGCGATACTGCGAATATCGAACTGATATACTATCGTTGCGCTCGTCGTTGCGTATATATGAAGTGAAAAAAACAGCATATAATTTCAGTGTAGTTTTATTAATTACCCTTTCTTTTGTATATTAAAATATTTAAATATTTAAATAAAGAGGAAAGCAAAGTTATTTTCATGCGAGAATTTGAAATCAGTTTATTTCAAACTCAATGACAATGTTTACCGATAATTCGATAAAAGGCCGTTAAGTTCTAAGAAGATTTTAAAACGTTTTGCGAAGCGTTTGTGGTTGAATTTTACATTAAATTGAAGCTTATATTACGTGTAATAATATACCTAGCATATATATATATATATGTTTGGGAAATTGATAATTTTGTTATTAAATGTGATATTTTGGGCGCAGGATTTTTCAATTTTAGAACTATTCTTAAAATTATCGTGTTACCATGACAACTACTTTCAACTCTTCATATTCAGAAAACATAATGTTTTATCAGTAAGGGGAGGGTTTCTGTATGCATGTAACTAGTTTCTAGTATAGTATACGGTTGTCGTGCATGGCTCGTACTAGTGTGAAATTCGCTTTAACTGGGCTGTCCGAAACTGTTACGTATTTATTAAAACACAAAGCAACATTTTGAAAGTTTGAGTTTCTTTTAAAGTTATTAATATTTGTATTTAGTATTTTTGCACAAGTGAACATAACAAATCCTACAAGGTGATTGGTCAAATTTGACGTATTAATCTGTTTTAGTATAAATTTTGCATATGAAATTTATATATGCCATTTTGAAAGCGTGTGCGTACAAGAAACACTGCAATACTATTTATAGTGAACGGGCTGAAAACAATTTTATTTCTAAAATTTAATTGAACTGATATTCGGGTATTTTGTTTTAGTCATTAAAAATTTATACTAAAACAATTATTCGCCACAGGCTCAGTGATTACGCTGAATATTCACCTCGACTTCGTCTCGGTGAATATTCACCGGTAATCACTTCGCCTTCGGCGAATAATTGTTAAATATTCACCTACAGGTGAATATAAAGAAAGTACATTTATTACACCGAAGGGGGGTGTCGTGTATTTAGATTATATTTTTAACAAAATATGAATAATACATAAGCATGGCCGATCTACATATCTAATGCGCATGTCCGTGCGTATGACCGCTGTCCGTCTATATCTATATATCTAACACCATCTCTCCTCTTAAGGAATGTATCATAAAATATTGTTCATGGGTTCACGTCACTATCGTGTTCGAACAATTATGCTAACCATAACAGTAATTAATAAAGCAGCTCTCTATGTAGTTTTCTTAAACAGTTTTCGGATCAAACAGTTAAGACCCCACCTCTCGGGTGGTTGGTGTGATCTAGTTGGGTAGCGTTGTTCAGATCCTGTTGTAGCCCTACCGGTTTCTTGTTGTTGCACTGCTGGTGGATTCGTGGCTAGTTCGATATCCGGCTCTGCGTCAATATCTTCTGCTGGTGCAATATTCTGGCCAGTCTCTCCGAGCTCTGG